TTGTGGCCGTCAAGGGATCCGTCTGTCCGATGCAGTTGCAAGGATAATAACGCGCAATTTATATGCGTGCCATTTTTTAAGTAACCAAAGCCTCGGTTTCGCCTCTCAGTGGTTGCATGTGGCATTTGGGCTAAGACACATTCGGCTCATTAGTTTACGGTCCATGCAGCTTGGCTCAGAGGAGGACTCAAAATAGGGCAATGAGTGAAAACTGCAGCGGGGTAGTATGAATTGTACCCACACATTTAGGGGTTGTTTTCCTCTTGAAAGAGTCTGGCATAAAACATAAAAGGGGCTTTCGTTTTATTTAGGGTTCAAGTATTGACTAAATTGTTTTATAGCACACTGGAGAGTCTGGCTGGCGTAAGATGCGAGAATCATTTTATGAGATTTGTGTCATGGAAACAGCCTGTGCTATTTATAAGTTGTAGGCCTTATATGTTACTGGGGTATAACACTACAAGCATTGAATACCACAAAATATCCCTTAAAAATTGTTAGCTCAACTTAGAGGTCGAAAGACTTTATACAAGCCCTATTCTGTTATAAAAGAAAGTGTTACTTGTCGGACAGTTGGACCCCTCAAATGCCCAGATATTCAACAACCCAGGTAAACAATTATACGCGAAGTCTGGTATACAACATAAGCTAATGAAACCACCCAACAGCCATAGATTCCACTGAAATATAACTAAGGTAAAATCAAAACGGGTTTCATAAATTACTTATTTTTACACTTTACAAGGGTTTACATAAAATCATTTCAGGAATAGAAACTATTATATATTAGCACAGATTTCCATATACAGGAAATCTGTGTATAAATAACTTTAGTCAAGTGCACGCCATTGGAGAATATGACAGTATTCTGTATTATTTGGACACCAAACTGTACTTTAGTAAGTGAAACAACTGTTATAAGCTGATACTGTTTCGCAGTCAACGGAAGTGAGTGCCGCTCTAGCAAATAGAATATAACAGTTTATTTTCTTATACAAATTAGAATGGGGCTGTCCTTTATTTCTAGTCTATGCTACAGCATAGTTTCGCATTCGTTCTAATAAGTGCGTCGGGTATAAGGGCAACTATATTACAGTTTATATAATAGCTGGAACAGTTTCGAAATGAACAGCTTTCTTTTTGTCAGTTTTGCACTTTGGCACCCCTTACAACTGTGATACAAAAGCTTTTAGTGGGAATAAGCTTTTAGACCTAAATAAGCTACCTATGGCAAACTCTACATAAAAAGCTGCAGAAAATCTTTGAAGTATTTGTGCTTCATAAAACATAGAATTTCTGCTATATAATATAAGTAGAATTATAGCTGAGCTAGAGCTTATAAATATCAAACATAGGGCACTTCCTTTAAAAGGAAATATTTTATTATTTGTATTACATATTTTGACTTTTTTACATACAATAGATATTGTATATTAAAATAGTATATATTTATGTATTCGTTATAAAGGTAAAGTATGACAACAAATTACTGACATAGAGAAATATATTCATAATATAAATAAATAATAATAGAAATAATAAACAAAATAAATAAATATATATTCAACAAAGCATAGTAAAATTGAGCGCTTAAGAAACAAAAAGTTTTGTACACATTTTATGTGTATATATTCCATCTAAATATTTATATTTTAAAGGTAGAAAGAAAACTAGATAGAAATATATACATCTATATATCTGAAGTTTTTGTACAATTACATATTTTTATACCCCGAACCCATTGAAAAGAGTAAATCAGTGTTAATGGTTTTTTTTTAAGTATGTATGTAACAGGCAGAAGGAATCATCGCAGATCCCATAAAGGATGTACATTCTTGATCGGCACGACGAGCTGAGTCGATACAGCCATGTCTGTCTGTTCGTCCGTCCGTTAATAATAATGTATATATGTCTGTAAATTACAAGATTCACAAAGAAATCAAATTGAATGGAACAGTAATATAGAATTCTCTTTCAAAGCCTTCTTTGTATATTTTTAACATCCTACATTTACCTATAGATCCCATTAAATTTATCTAAGAATATTTAAAAACTTTATAGCCAATATATTAATATATTATATATTTGATGAATCAAATGAAAATTTGAATTTAAGTAATGTAAAACATTTAATTATACTAATACTAACTAACTACAGGATTGACGCTTAAACACTAAAAGCTTATTCATAAATATATGCTTATTTAATTCCCGTATCTTTTTTAGTACAGGCATTAACATTTGTTTTCAACAACGGCTCAAGCGCACTGCAAGAATTGAAAGCAAAACAACTACGAAAGAGACAACGAGCGAGGAAGCGAGATAGAGAACGTCAAAGCCTGCCAAAGTTGGCCAAGGCTTATCAATATGATGTGCCTTAAGTATGCGAATGCCAATGCGAATGCGTATGTCGAGTGGCTTATTTAGGGGCTTAGGCGAGGGCGCTGGTAAAAGGCCAACTAAGCCAAACGATTGGAAGACTTTGATAACAAAGTGGACAACTCTGTTGACCAAGTTAAGAGCGCGTGGGATTCGCAAAAGGCCTTCCGAAATCACACAATAGCTCCCATAGAACAAAAACTACAAACTATGGAAATCAAAGAACTCTGCGATGATGGATGGACAAGCAAATAGACTTTTCGATATCGATAAGGCAAGCAATGATAAATGAGATAGAGCCAATTAAATAAGCAAAATAAATCTGCATTTCATTTAAGATTGAGTAAGCCAGGCTCATGGTAAAGGTAAGAGATAAAAAATGTGAAAGATGAGCTATTTATAACTTCTTTTCAGAGTAAGTTCTATACTATTGAAAAAAAGATCTGAAGCAGAAGCAAATGTTGTGTTATAGATGTGTTTAGATTTGCATTGTGAAAACATAACTTTTTGAGTAAGTAACAATAATAATGTAACAATATATCAACAATTTATTTGGTGCTTGATAAACTCTATGCCGATGGGAATAATTACAGGACTTTCTCTAGACATTTCTCTCACTTTTTATCTGCCATGATAATAGAGTAGTTCGAAAACAACTGATTCAGTAACATTTTGACAACTTTTTGAAAATGTAAGCCTTGCAGTTTACCAAATTCCTTATTTGTTTTTAAAACCATCTAATTAGGACGAACCATTGATTATTGAATCGATTATTAAAGAAATCAATGTGCTTCAATTTTCTAACTTTTCTAACATCTCAACCAACATTATCACAGGAACGTCAGAGTTAGCTCTTAGTAAATTGCAGGACTCATTCTTGTCCCGAGTATTGCCATTGGCAACGTACACCTACATATTTATCCAGATAGATATCAAAAGCCATGTAAACTCTCCTAGATCTTCAAAACACGTTCGAAACAAATATGAAATATGAATATTTATAAGCTTCTAGGTAAAAAGTAATTATTGGATTTCAAATACAATATTTTTTTAATAAAGTGTAATATTAAATATACTTTTATATACTTTATACTTTACACAACTGTCCCGATAATAGCGCTTGAGAGCGTGAATCTATTTATTTCGATATAAATGAAATTGCATAAAGCATGCTTTCATAGATTTTCATTTCCTTTTCATAATCAATGGGATTTCGTGCCGAAACCCCCTCGTCGCTTTATCATAGCTCAGTTTAATTTCCCAACTGCCTTGACATACTTATTTATAAATTAAATAGCTCCCACTCCCCCACAAGAGTTAAAACAGACATTGAGGACGGCGCGCCGGCCCCCGCTCGCCTTGCTACAGTCAAAGGATGCAGAAGCTGACCCTAGTCAAGAAACCCCGATTGCAGCCCTTGATCCGTGTTTCTTTGTGTCCGGCAGGACGAACAACAAAATGCATCCATATGTGAGAGCCAAATCAAACTCAATTTCAAAAATTGCCAAAAATGCGAACTAATTAAAGTGCAGAGCAACCCCCCGAGCGTTCTGCCCTTGTTCCCTTATTCCCTTCACCCCTCGCACTTCGCCGTTCACACAGCAAATGAAAAGTAATTTTTCGCAAAGGGAGGAAATGAGCAGGAGAAATGCTCGCAGAGCTTATTGATTCCGGTTTCGATTAGAGGCGGAAAGGAACAAGGAGCGGAAACAAGGAGCGGAGCAAGGATTACGACTAGGCTCGGAACGAAGCAATTTCAATAAGGAAATTCTTAGTTTTGACAGCCGCCCAACTAATGAGACAGCTAAAGGAAAGGGCATGCAAATTTTAATTTAAAAAAACAAAAACAAAGAAAACAAACAAAGGGCGCCAACAAAACGCTCTTAAAAAGTTTACCAGCTGATAAAAAATAGTTGAAGGCGACAGTTTAGTTTGCTAGAGTTTTCCCAGTGGGTGGGGGCAATTAACTAGCCGCACATTAAATGATAACAAAAAGGGGGCGGTGTATGCGGCGTGGGGCGTGGGGCGTGTAGGTGCTGTTGCTCTACGTGCAATAAAGTTTGGACAAAAGAAGAGAACACCAACAAAAACAACAACAACGTTCCAAAGGCCAGCTCCATTTGGGTCAAGCCAAAAGGATAATGCGGTTCGCGGCTAACAGAAGATAGACAACAGAAAAGAGAACGTCGAGTGCGCAATACTCTGCAATAGCTACGCAGATAGAAAAGTTTGTGTTGAGTGACTGACAAACTTTTAGTCAGTGCTTCTTAAGAATTGACTTAACACTCTCCGACTATATTATGCCGTTGTCCAGAGACATTAATAATAATCCAAAGAGACGTCTAATAGAAGAGTGGCTGTCAATTACTCAAATGGAGTGCTCGTCAAACAATGGTTATTTTAAAACTTTATCGAGTGTATGTCAGTGTGCCTGTCAAACCTTAAGATTCTGTGCCCCTCAGTTACTTTTCTCAAATGCTCAAGCATAATTTTCAACGGTCTCAATTATTTCGAAACGCTTGCATGACTCTAAAACTGTAAAGATCGAATTTACTTCAATCAACTGCAGGTAAATCTTAATGCTAATCTTATCTAAAGAAATTAAAATTTGTTTTTCTTACCAGCATAGATTAACTCCACTTGTAAGTATGTTTTATGTTATCAAATTTCAGTATTACGCCTCTTAATGGACATGGTCAGCGTATATATTATCAGTTCCCAATTGGAGCACTTTGCAAAACAGAAAAACAATATACCGTTATTTCACTTTTGAAACTGCATATATATATATACATATATAGAGCAAGTACCGCTAAGTCACAAAACTTTGCTTGTTGCTGCTGCTTCTTCTCAGCTGCTGTTGCTGCAGTTTTCGGTTATTGTGGTTAACGGTCTGTGGGCGAGTGGGGTGGGGGGATTAACAGTGCAACATAGGACAGAGTCCAATTAGAATACGCTGTTGCTTCAACTTTTCGACTGGCGCGCGCTGTTGAGCTGTTGATTTCGTTGTTTTTGTTGTTGTTGTTGTTATTATTATTATTATTTTTGTTGTTGTTACTAAAAAAAATACATATAAACTGGCTAGTGTTCAGGTCCGCCTACGCAGCCGCTGGACCTGTTCGACGACAACAGCAACTACAGCAGCAGTAGCGGCAGCAGCAACGCCAACAACAACAACAGTTAGGCAACACATGTTAGGTTGCGGTGCTGACGCTGGCGCCGGCGTTGACTGAGCATTGCAATATAATTGTTTAAATTCACAATTAGAGTCGAAAATTAAAAGCGAATCGATTTTTTTTCAGAAACAGAAACACACGCACACACAAATAGAAACACTCACTCTCGCAAACACACACTCGCGCGTGTTGTTGTGCGTAAAAACAAGTGAAAAACGCCGACTTCGACGGTTTAAGTAGTGATCTATATAACGCTGTTTAGACAAACGCGGCACGTTTGTTTTAGCATTTGTCACTTACAGTGATTGAAAATGAGCTTGCCAACTGGAATTCGCGTTTAATATTCCGCACTTTTCACACAATTTGCTCTATGCGTGCAGCGCGACGCGTTTATTTTTTTCTTTCGTTTTTACGCTAATGTTGACTTAACAGTAATTCAACTCAAAATGGCACTGTTAAAGCACTCAAATGGTCACGTTAACTTCGGCGACAGGGCTGCAGCATTAAGCAGCTGCTACAACAAATTGTTTAAATAAATCTACTTGTCTTATCCTTAACTTTTTATTTCTTAATATGAGTTCGCATTTGATGTTCTTTTGTTGAATTCGTTTGCTGCGACAGCTACTTTATTTCTTAGTCAACAGTGCGGCTTTTTGTTTGACTTTGCATGTGATTTGATTTTGATTGCTTATAAATATTGATTTTAATTTTTTTTAATGACTTTGTTTATACATTTAAAGCCATTATATTCTATTTACGTTTGGTTGGTTGTATTTTAAAGTTGCCTGCACTTAAGTTAAAGCTTTTTAAACCACTTTGTTTTCATTGGCGAGAAATCGATTTTTTTTATTTTCCGCTCGCTGCACAAAAACCGTTTTTATATTTATTTTTCTATTCCATTTTCAGCGCGTTAGTTAGCACAGTTTAATTAACACTGTCATGCGATTAAGTGCAGCACTTAATTTGCTTTAATTACATTTGTATTCTCTCGCTGCTTTTAGTCTACAAATTTTAAACAAACTCTCAACCGTTGCAATCACGAGGAAGCGCACGCTGTCAACTGAACTAAATTCCTTTATAAAAGATATTGCCCAAATGGCTATGCCCCTAAAATATATATGTATGTAAAAAACTTCACACACACGCACACTCTCACACATGATGGGGTGGCTGTGCGCCCGCCTTTTGAAGTGGACCTGCGCAGAGTTAGTTAGATTCAAAAAGCGCGCCCAATTGGAAATAGCAGTACATTAATTCTTATTCGATTGTTGCAGCTGTTGGTGGAAAAAATAAACACCCAACTGGAATCCCATACACCTGGTTTACAAGTGATAGTTGCTGGTCAAGAGTAGCTTTTGCTGCTTTTAAGATAATATTGTAGTTTCATTTTATGATATTAACTGATTTCTCTCTAGCGGTAGCTTCTTGGATAACATTTGCAGTATTGCACATAGTTTTTGATTCTAATTGGAAAGCGTTTACTTGGCATTCGGCTCGGCTACGCCTAAAGTAGAATGCTGGGCTGGACTAGCAGCCTGCGGTAGTGGACGTCCATGGCGGGATTTTGAATTTAGTTGGCTTTATTCTAATACGAAAAGATCTGACTGGATTCCGGCTGTTCTACAGGCAAAATGCTCGCACTGCCATCGCTGGCTAGGATAAGCTGCTGCTGCTCGGGCTTCATGATGTGGCTGTAAATGTTCTCAATGGCGGGTATGACAGATGTGGAGGCGGAGCTCGCTGCCTCAGCTGCTACAGGATTAGCTGCTTCTCCGCCTCCTGCTGCTGACTTCTTTGGCTTCTTGCCGAAGGCAAAGCTTCCGCTCTGCTTGGTGGCCACCGGCGAGAGATTGTCCTTGTTTTTGGTGCTGTAATTACAGAGAAAAAGTAGATATAGATTGAGATCCTAACCAATTCTTTAGTTGCACTCACAAAGCCTTAAGCGCCTCCAACTTGGGTATGTTCCGATTGTAGGTCTTGCCTCCGCCCGCCGCCTCCTGCGCAGCTAGCTCCTCGGGATGCGATTTCTTCTTGTGCGTGCGATAGTTGGAGCCGTTGGCGAATGTCCGTTCGCAGAAGTCGCAGGAGTAGGGCTTCAGCCCCGTATGCAGGATGAGATGGTTCTTCAGCGCCTTCGCGCGCTTGAACTCCCTGCCGCAGTAGTCGCACTTGTGCTGCATCTGGTCCGTGTGGACCAGCCGATGGCGGTTGAGCGTGGGCCGGGAGTTCAGCTGCATGCCGCACTCAGGGCAGATGTACTTGTGCGGATCGTGCGTCTCTTTGTGGTGCTTCAACCGGCTCATGCTTTTGAAGCACTTCTTGCACACGTCGCACTCGAAGGGCGCGTAGTCCGTGTGGCTGAGCAAATGCTCCTTCAGGGCGTGCAGCGAGTGCACCGCGATTCCGCATTGCTCACAGATTACCGGGCGAGGGCGCTGCTCCTCCTGGTGGGCGTACTGCGCATGCGATTGGGCTGAGGCATTCGTTGTGAACTGCTTGCTGCAGATGGGGCAGGGGAAACGCTTCCTCTTGGGCATGGGCAGGTGCTGCTGCTGGTGCTTCTGCAATTGGTAGCGGGAGCGGAAACTCTTCTCGCACTGCGCGCAGCACAGTTTGTTGGCTGGCTCATCTGCTGCTTCCGCTTCCGCCCCCGCTTCCACTGCCGCATCTGCCCCTGCTTTGCTATGATCCTGCCGCATGTGTCGCAGCAACGTCTGGGGAAGTGCATAGATGCGCGGGCATTCGTTGCATGGAAAGGATTTCCCTCTCCTTGCTTTGAGTTCTTTGGGCTGGAAAGGGCAGGGGTTGGTGTCCAATGAGTTCAAGCTGTCTGATTCAGCACAGAGATTCGACAGCAGTTCTTCCTTTGCAGCATCCTCCTCCTTTTGCTGTTCATCAGGCTGCTCTTCAGCGATTGAAGCTGCGTCTTGTTCTATCTCTCCTTCGCCTTCTATCCCATGGTCTTCCTCCTCCTCCTCCTCCTCATGCTCGTCCTCATCTTCAACTGTTTCTGCCGTCGCTGGAACTTCTGCTTCATTTATCTTGCTATCTACTTTCTGCCCGCTTGGCGTGAGCGGGTTTTCCAACTCCAACGTCACTTCCTCTAGATCATTTAGCTTGGGCTTCTCCTCAACGTAGTGCACCTCAGTTACCGTCTGTACCCCCAGATCCGCTTCCTCCTGCAGACCAAATCGTCGGCGCAGCTCCAGTATATTGACGGCTTCCTTTGGCCTGCTCTGCAATATACAGTATAGCTTCTGCACGCGTGTGATGCGATCCGAGAATTTGACCAACGAGGTGACCAGCGACAGGCAATCTCTGCAGATCGTCTCTGGCAGCTCCTCCCCACGAGTCATCTACAAAAATTTATTTTTTAATATATTTATGAACGCTGCATCCAACAATCAATCACTCACATTAACCCAGAAGTATTTGCCGATAGCAGTGGCCAAGGCCATGTCGCTGGCGGCATCAGTAGCTTCACTCAGCCTTTGCTCACTCTTTAAAAAGACATTTATATTGCCTTGGAGGTCCTCCTTGGCGCACAGGCGACACCAAAGCAACCAATCATTCGATTCTGTGACAGACATTTGCACGACTTTATTAATTATAAGACTATATTAGCAAACACTTAACGACTTTATTAACATTGTAAAACAATTATAATCAATTTTATGATTGAGAAATTGCCAGCAAAATATGATTTTATGATTGTTGTTTTTTAACAGCTGTTGCAGCTAACTTCGCAAGTCCAATGTGGCGGCGGTCGATAGGAAAATCGATTGGTGAATTGGTGAATAAGTAACATAACTGCACAGCTAATACAATTTATTAATTTTAAATTGATTCCTGAGCACTTTTCTTTAACCAATAACTATAGTGTTCTATGGTTAGTGCTTTTACTTAAATTTTTTAACGAATATTTTTTATTTAATAATTCCGTCTATCACAATGTCGATATACAAAACATAGAGTCGATATACATGCAATAACTTAAATTTTTATTTTTTCTTATTTTATATGGAATACAATAATTAACATTAAAGAAATGTTTTCATTTGTAGCATTCTTTGTTTTGATTTCATTCATTATATAACTGCTTTATTCAATCAGAACCTTCACATACTTAAAGCATAGAATGTGGCGGCAGTCGATTTACAATTCGAAGTTGTTGACAAATAAGTCGACCATTAATATACATAGATATTAATATATTATAAATAGTGCCACTGTCTGGTCAGTGATAGTGCTAAAGATACTCATTTGTTTTTCTTGTAAAAAAGCTGATTTTAATATGAAATAAATCAAACAGTGGAATTTATACATTTAAACAAAAATTTCTACTTACGAACAAATATATGTAACTTTTACAGCATTTACTATTAATTGTGTCTATTATATGGGCTTTGAATTTCATCACGGAAAGCTGTGAACATGTTCGAGGCACGGCTCTCCAGCACTTTAACATTAAAGAAGATTGTAGATGCGTTAAGGGATATACTGAACCAGAGTACACTGGACTGCAGCGATACAGGAATACAGGTGAGTCGCTGTCTTTGATAAGGTAAACAATTACAGAATTGCAGAATTTTCTTGCAGTTGCAAGCCATGGACAATTCACACGTGTCGCTAGTCTGTCTGTGCCTGCGCAGTGATTACTTTGAGAAATATAAATGCAGTCGGAACGTTTCCCTTGGCTTGGATCTCAAATCCCTGACGAAGGTGCTGAAGTGCGCTAACGGAGATGACGCAGTCACCATCAAGGCTGCGGACAAGGCGGACAAAATTGAGCTCAGTTTCGAGTCAGCGGGCAAAGAGCGTACGGCCGACTATGAGCTGCGTCTGCTCAATCTGGACCAGGAGCACCTGGCCATACCGGAAACAGAATACAGCTGCGTTATCCATATGCCAGCTTCAGAGTTTGCCCGGATCTGCCGAGACTTGGCCGTGTTTAGCGAGTCGGTGGTCATTGCCTGCTCGAAGAACTGCATCAAGTTCTCGGCTAACGGAGAGATGGGCTCTGCGAATATAAAGCTAAGCCAGACCAGTAAGGCAGAGGTTACCTTACAAGTGGATGAGCCCGTCACGCTCTCCTTTGCCGGTCGATATTTGAACACGTTTACACGTGCCACGCCCCTGTCGGAAAAGGTGAAGATCGGCATGGCAGCTGATGTTCCGTTACTTGTGGAATACCCTATCGAAGATTATGGGTATATACGCTACTATTTAGCGCCCAAAGTTGATGATCCAGACTGTTGAGTGCAATAATCAAGATAATGTGCAATAATCTTATAATTTAAACATATGTACATATATGTGTATATAAAATTTTTTGTTTTCTATTGTATATAACTTTTAATTTTTTGTTATGTTTAAACTGCTGTAATAAATTGGTTTATTCCTTTTTTGTTGGCTTTTATTAAATTAAAAATTTTACATATTTGAATCACGAAATAAATACTTTAATTTAATACTTGCCAAAAATGAGTCCATCTCTAGTCTACTATCGATTGATAGCTAATAAATTGTGGCGGCTGACGATTATTAAAACGACAGCTGTTTTGCGAAATTCGGCCCGCAAAGTCGGCAGAAAATTTGTAATCAATATATTAGGTAATAAAGCTAAATTAAATAATGTTAAAATATCTAACGCAGCCGTTGCGGAGAGCGACGCCAATTGTGGGGCGTTCGTTCTGCAACAGTAAACTTAGCGGAAGCAGCGCAAAAGTAACCGCGGCGACAACAACAACAACGCCAACTGTGGGCCCTTTGATTGACGTTCGTGAGGCGCTGGATGGATGGAGCGACAAATTAAAGGAGGCGGGCGTCAGTGACATTGACTTTAATCTAAAATGCATTGTCTCACATGTGCTGCAGCGGAAATTTGTAAGCTATACACTGTGCGCCTACAAAACTTTTTTATGTATGCCCTTTCCACACCTAGAACACCGTGCCGGATGACTTTGCCCAGCTGAAGTTTAACTCGGAGCAGCTAGCGGATTTTGAGCGCTTCCTCGAAGCGCGCTGCGCTCGCATGCCGCTGCAGCACATTATCGGCGAATGGGATTTTATGGACATAACGCTGAAAACAGCGCCCACTGTCTTCATACCACGCCCAGAAACGGAGGAGTTTATCCGCTTGGTTATGGAAAACTATCGCAAGGTCGAGCATGTAGATATGCTAGAAGTTGGCTGCGGCTCTGGTGCCATGTCGCTGTCTATGCTGCACGCTTTGCCCCAAGTAGACGCGACGGCCATTGAGCGCAGCAAGGCGGCAACAAAGCTGGCCTGGGAGAATGCCAAGCTGCTCGGGCTCCATCAGCGCTTCAAGGTATTCAATCACACCATGGAAACTGACAACTACTTGCCCACTGAGCTGCAGGACAAGCAATACGATCTGATAATCTCTAATCCTCCCTATGTGAAAACCGAAGAGTTTCAGTTTCTCCATCCCGAGGTCGTTGTGTAAGTTGGAATAGTTTCCCTCATCTAATTGATACAGTAATTTATAGGATAGAATGATTGATAGGGGGTAAAGCTTATAAGCTATTGAAAAGTTCTTTCATTGAAAAATATGTCTTTTTATAGAATAACTATTTTGATTGATGATCGGTGCTTAATGGTTTATTCATTTTTATATCCTGAACCCACTGAAAATGGGAAATCAGGGTATAAAAGTTTTGTTGAAATGTGTGTAACAGGCAGAAGGCGGCGTGGCGGACCCCAAAAAGTATATGTATTCTTGATTCATAAAGATATTCCATCGACAAGAAAAGTTATTTGACAATTAAGTTCCCATAGTAAGCCCAAACTGCCAATACGTGTTTATGCGTGCGTGCGTATGTCTGTGTATGTGCGTGTGTGTGTGTGTGCGAAATGTTATTGAGATATCAGTTGCTCGAAGGCTTCAGGGGATCTCGTAGTTGAGCAGTCGCGTCTAGAGCTTTCTTACTATCATATATCCATAAGATATGAAAAGAACAGTAGGCGGAAAATCGTACGACTGATTTTACTACCAGTTGAAAGAGTTCAATAGTTCTTACAAGATGCATCCTAAAATTCTTGAATCTTGAATTTCAAATTGGAAAAGAGAGAAAGAACTTAGAAATGGAGTAGTAATAAGGGAGCTTCTAATTCTGATATATGTAATATAAAAAACAAGTTCAGATATTTAAACATAAGTGAGCAATATACATATTTACAACCGTAATATTTCACCAACTTTCCTTTTTACTAGCTAATTTTTTTATTTACTAATCTTTATTTTGTCTTATTGGGCATTGCTTCCCTTGAACGTGTATTTATTTAGAGTTTATTTTACTGCTGTAATGTACTTTTATGTATTTATCGTCTTTCACAGCTACGAGAACCTAAATGCTTTAGATGGCGGCCCGGATGGATTGCGCGTGGCTCGTTTGGTCTTCGAGCTGGCCTGTCGGCATTTGCGACCTGGAGGCAAGCTGTGGCTGGAGCTGGGCAACGATCACCCGCCTCTGGTGAAAACCATCATGAATATGCAGTATCAAGGCCGCTTGAGTTTTGTGCAGAGCTACGAGGATCAGTATAAGCGCGAGCGCTTCGTCCAATTGGAGAAAGTCTAAGGCTCCAACACTCGGACCCAACATTTCATTAATTGAACCTGATTAATGCAATTAGAATTAGTCGCAAATGCATTTATCTGTGATGTGACCTACATAGACACCCAAAATACCAATTACCTGAGAGGCTATCACATTTACACACCTACACATATACATATATTAATGTATATGTCTGTAGAAGATATGTTTATATTACGGATTGCATTAAGTATTTCGCCTCGGGGCTTTGCGAACAAAGACGCATTTCGAAGCTAAACAACAACATAAGGCATTTCGATTTAATGCACTTAATTTTATTGGTTTACATTATTCACGCTTATAAGCTTCCAAATAAATCCGTAACGGACACTAAAACAACTGCAACTATTTAATCGAACTGCACAGTGGATTGAGAGCGTTTGAAAATGGAATACATTCAATATTATATAAAAAAAAATGCATAAGATATTTTTAATGTATATTATTAATTATGGAAATGCATAGAGATTTAGATTCCGTACACAGTGGGTTAGCTGCATTTGAAAATATCAATATATAGTGCCCTGCCTTCTAGACTAATAGCAGAATATTACAAAGATTCAAATAATATATATATGTATAGCAGTATACAATACACTACCATTATAAACACAATTTGTTTGGGAAACATATGTGATCTTAATTTTGTTTATTGTTGTTTTATGACTAAAAAAAACAATCCTTAAAAATCTTAAAAGTACATTTGAAATGTATTGAAAATTGATAAATTACTTACAATAAAATAACGTTATAAACACATTAGTTTATGAAATGTTCGTAAAACAATATTGTAAAAATATTTTCCCATGAACTCTACGGAAATATTAAAAATCGACTTAGCTTTAAAAATGCTATATTTTATATATTATGAGCAATTGATAAATCGAATACAAAAACCAAAAATTCAATGAATTTTTACATAACATGTTTTGTTTGCCTTGCACCACTGTGCAATAGCTCAAATGCGGCTTTGGCTCTAGTTGGGCTCTAACGATTTTACCGTTATCAATCGAAGCAGCTGTTGGTCAACTGAATAATGTTAGGCACTCATTAACAAGCGTGAATTTGAGAGAGTAAG